CTCGTATATTATATTGAGAAAATTACCATGCGTGTGAGTAAAACTACTCCCCTTTCTTCATATACGAGCACACAAGTTTCTTTCTCCAAATATGACCTATTACGTAATACCTATATAATACTTTTAATAAATAAATAAATAAATAAATACTCTATATAGACTAAAATGCCCCTAACTTATCACTATAAACCCTAATAACCTCCCTCATTCTATCATCGCATCCATCTTCGTGGTTCATCGGCTCCATCTTCTACATTGCCTCCATCCACATGCATCCCTTCCAGCAAGTAGCAGTGGGATTAATCCCTCTATTCCGACTAAATCAAGCCATAGGTTGCGTTACTGATTGTCCGCGGAAATAGAAGCGGACGCCGTTGCCGTTGGAGGTAGTTGATGCATCGAGAGAAGCTTGCGTCGCCGGCCAGCATCATCGTCCCGATCCTTGGCGTCGCCGCCCAACATCTTCTCTTGGATCCACCGATGGATTGTGTCCGAAACCTAGTAGGGAGGAGGGGAGTGCGGCGCAATTGAAGAAGCCGGCCATCTTGGGCTTGTTATGTGAAGGTTGCTGCCTTTTTTTTAGCAAATTGCTGCCTTTTTATCCATGAGAAGACTTCTGCTCTTTTTTTTATCCGTTACTTGCTTTGGCCCTCCATTCTCATTCCAGCTTTTATGGTTTGAAATCAGGAGTTTCTAAAATTAGGTTTTGTAGACATTAAATATGGGCAATGAATATGAGTCGTGAATATGATGATAAATATTGTTGAGTATGGGGAGTCAATTTAGGGTTTGTGGGCATTAAATATGGGCATTGAACATTGACAGAGAATATGACAACGTGTGTTGAGTATGGCCGTGAATATGACAATATATGTGTTATATATGGCAGTGAACGAATGCATTAAGAAATTTTGTTGTGCAGTGATTATGACCAGTATTGCAGTAACACAAAGCAGTGATATCATCATGAAATGCAATATACTTAATTAGACGTAAAATAATCAAATTATTAAATTTAAAAAAAAATCGTCAATTGAATAAGAAGAGAATTAATTTTAGAGGAAGTGCAGTGATTATTACCGGATGTGCAGTAAAGTCATGCATTAATTTTGTGCATTAACGGCAATATAAAGTGTAGTAGTTTTAATTGGACGAAATTAGTGCAAAATGCACATATTTTAAATAAGGGTATTTTCGTCATTCATCATTTAAATATAAACGAATTTTCTATTTGTTTTTGGATTTTTGGTCATACAAAGGTATAAAAACTAGTTAGGTCATAGATTGAGAAACTCATCGAGTTTTAGTCATATCCCGGTAAATTTCCCTATTATATTTGCTTCTCCTTAAGCCTTAAACTATCGTTACTATAGAGTCATTTTAAACAAAAACTAAGAATTAATTAGTGATTTGAATTGTTTCATCCTTAGCAGTTTAATAAAAGTTTTGTCTAAATAGATGTACTCGAAACTACAATTTTTCTTTTATACTCCGTATAATAAAACTTTTTGAGGCCATTTGACAACACTATTTTTTGGCTTATTAGACTTATCAATCAATTTTTTCACCAAACACGTAATTTTTGCTTTAGCACGCTTAATTGTGTAATAAGGAAAAAAAGAAAGGTTGAAGTTACTTTTCTGGATGTATTGGCTGAAAACTGTAGATGATCATTTTAACTATTTTAACGTATGATTTTGTCTTTATTTTATTAATAAAATATATTTTAAAATTAGTTTTTTCTTAAATTAGCAGAATCAACCAATGCAGTCACTTCAGCCAAAACTTCATAAATTTTAGCAGAATTAGCCAAATGAGCCGATTTTCGTGCTACCAAACGGGCTCTTTGATTAGCTCATATACTTAATTAAACACTTGACATCATTTGCTCATACCTAAAACTTATACACACTACCTCATTTTTCATTCTAAAAAATTACTCTCTAATCCGTATTGTTTTTTCATCTATTAAATTGCAACTCTGTCAAGATACTAAGTATAACATACTATGTACTATTCTATTATAGTACTCTATATAAAAATAAAGAGAAAATAATTAAAACACTCCAAACTTTGAAAGGGTGTGAGGTAAGCACCCCAAACATGCATATGTAATTTAAATACCTCAAATTTATATAAAAAGTCATTTTAGCACCATATTCATGTATTATTTCTTTCAAAAATGTTAATTTTTTGTCTTAATCTCATAATTTAAAACATTTTAGCATTCATGAAGATACAATTAACATTGTAAACTTCCATTGTAAAATAAATAATACTACCTCCACTCTATATAATTACAACGATTTTAATTTGCTATTTTAAATTGTGAAATTAAAACTATAAATTTACAGTTTTGAAAGAAATAATATATGACCATGGTGTTCACATAACTTTTTATATAAAGTTTAAGATATTTAAATTACATATGAAAGACTGGGGTATTTATCTCACATCCCTTCAAAGTTTAGGATATTTTAATTATTTTTCCCTAAAAATAATACGAGTATAACAAAAGTCATTTAGAAACGATGCTAAAACTCACCAAAAATAAAAAGAAATTTCAACATTGGGCATGGTACACTCGTGCCATGCGCGAACTATTTCTCATTTTTGAATAACTATTGAATAATTAATAAATGAGGAAGAATTGGAGCATATATTAGGCTCTGTTTGCAACCACTTATGCTTAAATAAAAACACTTTTTGGGAAAAAGTGATTAGTAGTAAAAGTCGATAATGTTTGGTAAAATAAGTGCTTTTTATGTAATAGAAAAAGTAAAAAGTAAATTCTACCTGGAAGCCGAGAAAGTAAAAGTTGGTAGTTTGATAAAATAAATGTTTTTTTTTCTTAAAAAAGCCAAAATCACTTTTCTTAACTGATTGCAAACAAGCTACTTTGAAAAAGTATAAAACCAGAACTTCTGTATGACTCTGACTTCTATCAGCAGTTGCTCAAGGAATTTTTTGACCTTGTTGATCCGCGCCCTGGATATCAATTTGCCGTTTGCTGAAATTCTGGAACAGAGGCGTCAACTTCGCCGTGACTGAAGGATTTGATAATATTACTTTCGTCCCAATTTGATTTGCAAATTTGACTTTTCTTGGTCAAACAGTTTCATTTTATTCGTTTAATTAGGATGTCAATTTTTAATTATATTCTAATTTGGGGTTTAGAACTTTGAAAAGATTTTAATTAAGTTTTTGAATATGTAAATTTTAATTATAAAAAATTGAATTAATTATTGATAGCGAGCATTGACCTTTAATTTTGGTTGACCGAAAAATATTGACTTTGCAAAACAATTTAGGACGGAGGGAATATGTCAATTACATCTTTTAAGAGAACTTATATTACAACTTGCACTCAATTACATTTCGAACTAATGGGATTTACACTTTGACCTATCTCAGCAAGTTACAATTCAATGTGATACATCTCAAATTGCCTGAAGATATAGTTTAATATACTTGATTTACATTTTGTATATAACATGTGAGAGAATAACTTTTGAAAGGAGTAAAGTTACATTTTATCGCATGAGTTACATTTATTCATAACTGAAATTACATTTAGTAGCACGGGAGTTACATTTCAAATACACACGATTTACATCATGAAAAATACTGAGAAAAAAATTATAATCACTATTCATCTGTATTTTTTAAATTAAAACATTAAATGACATTTTTAACTAATTAATGGGAGCGTGATGCTCAGTGACGATCAAATTGACGGCATATCAATTTGTTTGACACCTTCAATTCATTGAACCGCACAGATAAAGTGAAGGAATATTACATTGACACGTAATTATTATCATATTTTTTGAACTCGTAATTATTATTAATTTAGAAATCAGAAAATAGATAAATATCTAATCCGTACTATTAAATATTGGAAAAATGTAAAAAAAACATTCACAAAACCTACAAAATTCAACATAGAATTCCACGACAACGCCACCAAAAGTCCGAAACGGATGATTAAATCTATACATTGTACGGCTATACATTGTAGGGCTGCACATCGGGCGGGTTGGGTTGGATTTGCTATGTTTTTTGGGTCTACCTGATTTGTTCGGGTTGGATATTAACCAACCCGCGGTATGCAAAATAAGTTGGTAAAACATGCATGAACGGGTCGGGTAGGGTCGGGTATTGGAAAAAAGATCACTTCGGGTTGCGTCTTTCATGTGAAAAATTAATGTAACCAATTTAAAACTCGATTAACTTGTTTCCAAAACACACAAACAAATACAAGTACTCGTATATTTTATAAGCAAAAACATTAGATAATAGTATTAAAACATCCTTCCGTAAAGGAAGTTATTGTAGAAGGAAACGTACATATATAATAATCATCTAGTCAAAATGGTAAATGTTTAATTATAAATCTAATATCATAAAGTCCTAAATAGAATGCATTGGTCTTAAATTGAAATTATCCAAGAAAACATTGTAGCATAATAATAGTAAAACGAACTTTGGTCGGGTCAGGTACTATCGGGTTTGAGAATTTAATTCCGCAACCCTACCCATTAGGTGCAGGTTCAAACATATTTAACCCACGAATATTTATTAAAATCAAATACCCAATTAAATAGGGTCGGGTAGGGTTGGGTCGGGCGGGTTATACGGGTTCGGGTTATTCTTGTGCAGCCCTAATACATTGTAGCAAAAAGGTGAGCATTTTGGTGGAATTAGTTAAGACCTTTTCCATGAACATTACTAAATCAAATTCAAAAGACAAAAATGTAATTTGTTTAAAAATTTCACAAAAAATGTGATATATTTAATAAGTAGTTCTCAGTGACTCATCATCTACGTAGTATTAGTGACTTGTTACTCTGAAAAACACTATAGTGAGTATTAGTGACTAGTCGTAGTTTTGTCCAGAAAAACTCTAATAGTAATATACACGTCTTTTTTTTAATTAAATAATTATTTTAGGGGGAAGAATATAATCAAAGATGAGAATCATATATATCACAAACAAATTAATAGTTCAATATTATTATTGATGCAAAAAGAGAAGTGGTAGCTAGATTGCATGCATTATAATTATTATTATAATTATAATCTCATGAATGGTAATATATATGATGAAGTCATTCAGGGGAAGGGCTGGAAGCCGTTTTTAGTCAAAATTTTGTCAATCACAGGGGTGAAGAAATAAGGAGCCTCCTTAAGAACTTCCTCTTTGGAGCACTGTGTCCTTACAAGGATACAATCCGCCTCACAGTATTCATCTGCCACGCCGTCTACCGCGAGCCATTGCTTGCACGTTTTGTTCAAGTCCTCGATATCAATTTGGCAGTCCGATTTCACTGCCAGCTTTCTAGCGCTGCGTTTGGCTGCTGCAACCATGGATATGGACATGCAAACAAGAAAACACAAAACGATGATACTTCCAGCTTCTCTCTTCATTCTGCCTTGGTTAATTAGCTGGTGTTTAGTACGTGTGTGTGTTGAAGAATGAAACACCGATGGTAGTATATATATTATTATTATCACGTATAAAAAGGTGGGGTGTAGCCTTTTTGGGAGCTAAATCTGTGTTTCTGAACACACACTATTAAATTTAGAAACTACGTTACTACACATTAATTATTTCAAATAAATCCCCCCCAACCTAAGATTGGAGTGCATTTCTTAATTTAGAAGATGCAGATGAATTGCTTTAAAAGCGGGTTTAATGCGCTCAAGTTAAACCTCCTAAGATCTAAAATATCTGCGTTAACTCATCCACTACAATATCATCATAACTAGTGTAAAGTCCGGGGCGATGGCCGGGAGCGCATCAATTTGATATATTGAGTTAAAATGAAAAATTCTAAGAAAATATCAAGACAATGGACATATGCCGCCTCGCTGTAGTCGAAAAACAAAAGGTTCGCACCGTACGATCTTCGCCTATGAAATTTATGCCATTTGTTCTCATGGATGCTGCTGTGAGTACTTAGTTTTTTTAAAATTTAGTGTGCTACTTTTTTGACAGTGATCACAACTTCTGACTTCCCGGTATGTTTGAATTGTTGCTATTCTTGAGGAACTGTGTGCTAAATAAACTTTTTCAAAGAAGGCAGAGTCTTTATTCATCAATGAAAAGCACATTTCACTATTCTTGATGAAGGTACTATTTTATATGAAAATAATATGGAGTATGAAATAAGTAGGTCAAAATAAATTGACATAAAAGTGTCTTTTCTTTTAAAGGTTTATGATTTAGGAAAAAATGACAATAGCAATAATCTCACCTTTTACCAGTCTTCTCATATTAATTACACTTTTACGCAATTCCAGAATAATCTCACATTTACACCACATGTTCTTTCATTGCACTTCAACCTGTTGATGACCTACTATACCAGGTCTTTTACCCTTTTTTTTGAAAATCATATAAATAATCTCCCTCACTTTCACTTTTTTATTATATCTTTATAAAGGTGAGATTATTTATATAAGATTTTCAAAGAAAGGGTAAAAAACCTGGTATAGTAGGTCATCAACAGGTTAGGGTCCAATGAAAGAAGATGATGTGCAAAGGTTGGATTATTCTGGAATTATGTAAAAGTGGGTTTATTATGAGAACACCGGTGAAAAGTGCGATTATTCTTGTCAATTTTTCCTATGATTTATTCAATTCTATATAAAACATACAAACACAAACTTGTGTTAACTTACTTTAATTTAACATCAGCTTCATTTTGATTGAATTGAATCATAATATGGTATGAAGCTACACAACCACTAGCAGCATCAAATAAAACAATTTTATAAAAAAGCTCGAGATTTGTTTGCTCTAAAGATGTTTAATTATCTCAGAGTAATTTCTACGTGCTTTTATTGAGGGACAATTATTCACTCCTGAACTTTTTCCAATCATGTGCTCGTTTTTTCGAATATTTGTTACCTAAATAAATAGTGGTAGAATTCGAGTTGTGCAATGTGACGTTAATACAATTCAATTGTATGATAATTTGGGGGCGAGAAAAAAAGGATGACACCCCATCTCTGAGGCCCCCAACACCGACCGGACGGCACGATGGGAGGATGTAAATTGGACTATAATCACAATCTGACAGATAGAGAGTGAGGCTCTGTCCCCGGTACTTGCAGAGGCCCTATGCATTTTCAGCATAGTAACCCCTCATCGCAGTTGCCGGGATTCGAACCCGAGACCTAACCCTTGTGGCACTCTCTTGCTACCAGTTGAGCTACGCTCACCGGTAATTTGGGGCCGAGAAGGATGATTTTGGGGAAGTGTGACGTTAATACAATTCAATTGTATGATGATTTTGGGGAAGTGTGTTCAAATACGACGATGTGCCTGAGAACAACGAATAATTACCACATGGCCGAGAATACGAACATTGCCAAATAAGGGGAAGTGTGTTCAAATACTAACATGGCCAAAATCATCAAATCCTTTCCGCCATGAGAGAAGGGGTAATTAACAAAGGCTAGCCAGCCTTCTTCAAATACGAACGTGGCGGTTTGTGCTTGCTGGCCATTTCTCCGTGTGGTGTGGAGGAACCGCCCCACATGAACAACGAACGAATATGAGATGCATCGTTGTATGCCTCGAGTCCCCAACGCACCTAAAACTTTTACTTGGTGATTTGCTTCTTTAAATTAAACTCATTTTCCTTGCTACATTTTACCCGTGTTGTTATTTGGATTGTCCATTACTGTTTTGGGACACTTGTTAATGTAATGCATTCTCTTTGGCTTTCATTTTTCTTTCTTCTGTAGGTAATTAATTTTGCGCTGCTTTCGTGTCCTGTTTTCCTCCCTATTGGGCATTGACCCTCACGCAATATAGGGTGTGGATCAAAGTGTGTGTATATGTATATATATATATATATATATATATATATATATATATATATATATATTAATATATATATATATATATTAATATATATATATATATATATATATATATATATATAGGTTTCGGTTCAAATAAGAACACGATCTTATGAGAGAAATGAGAACGAATCTGGACCGTTAGATTTGCTTCAAGTGAAATTCAGTGTGCAATAGATGAAACTGTAATGTGCATTAGGTGAAATTGAAATGTGCATCACAAAGGGTACGATAGAGTGGCATTATGTGCAGTTGAATTGTGCATTACGTGAAATTGAAATGGGCACTAGGTGAAGCTGAAATGTGCAGAATAAAAAGTACGATGCGGTGTTATTTTTGTACTTTTTTTCGCACATATCAATTTCATCTAATGCACACTTGAGTTTAGTTTTTATTTTGCACATTTCAATATCATTTAATGCACATTTCAGTTTCACCAAATTCACAATTTGGTTTCACATAATACAATCCAACGGTCCAGATTCGTTCTCATTATTCTCCTATGATCTGTTCTTACCGGAACCACTCCATATATATATATATATATATATATATATATATATATATATATATATATATATATATATATAGGGTAAGGTTCAAGTGAGAAGAACCCTTTGGGTGAGAAATGAGAATGAATATCAGCCATTGGATTCGACTAAGTTGCAATAAAAGACACTTCATGATGCACTGAAATATGCAATCTATCACAGTGGCATTTCTGTAAATACTTCTGAAAAATCCGTATTACACGTGTCTAGTGCAACATGAAGCTATTTCGGTGCAACGCCGTCAAATATGAGTGCAACATAAAACAGTTTTAGTGCAACATGTGCAAAATTTAAATATTACTCCAACATAAAGCCAATTTTAGCGCAACTTCGTAAATCCAATGGCTGAGATTCATTCTCATTTCTCACATTAGATGCATTTCTCACCTGAACCAAAAATATATATATATATATATATATATGTGTGTGTGTGTGTGTGTGTGTGTGTGTGTGTGTGTGTGTGTGTGTGTGTGTGTGTATAGGAATATTCTTGTCCGGAATTTCTGAACAGGAGGGCCGTCCGGCCTCCTCTATTTGGGGGGCCTTTTCGGTGGTATTTTTTACTCAAATGTTTTGTGTAGATTCCTCATCAAGTCTAGTTCATCCATATCCAACTTCAGCCAAAAATTCAATCGGGAAGGTTGTCAAATGATTTTTGCAAGTTAACTGGTCCGGACTCCGGAATATGTATTTCTGGACCAGTTAACTTGCAAAAATCATTTGACGACCTTCCTGATTGAATTTTTGGCTGAAATTTGGTATGGATGAACTAGACTTGATGAAGAACATACACAAAACATTTGAGCAAAAATACCACCGGGAAGGCCGCCAAATGGAGGAGGCCGGACAGTGCTTCGGTCAGGATATGCTCCGGACAAAGCATATCACAAAAAGTGCATCTCAAGATGTAATAAAATGGGGACAAGTTAAAAAATGTGCAATCCGTTTTCCAATTTCTGGTTTCAATTTTATACATTCCCTATGCATTGTGTAATGTACACATTTTCCACATTTCAAATTACCCTGTCTTGTGATTACGATTCATATAACCCATGTTTCTTTATAAACTTAGGGGGTGTTTGGAACTGATTCTGATTCTGCTTCTAAAAAATTAATTCTAGGAGTAAATTAGATCACCAGAATCACTTCTGCATGATGTGTGTTTTCTTGCACTTAAAAAGATTGTAATATAATGGTGTAAGTACGAGTATCGTCTCTACAGGGACGGACAAAAGGGAATTAAAGATTAAATAAATTCAGCGATTAAAAAGAAATAAATAAAAATGCGTCGTGCGAGATTGGTTGCTGGAAAATAAAAATGTGAATAAAACGATTAAAATAAATGGGTTCTCTCTAATTAATGACGAAGGGAACAAGGATTAATTCCGGGGTAACCAGATTTCTGGCAGATCAGTCTTAATTACATGAAATTAATTCAATTGAGCCTAGATAATCATTACTAAGTTCTTACCGCTCTCGCGGCGTAGAGTACAATAATTTGGGGGACCAGGCTGATCTCTCATGCGACAGGATCCTAAATTATTTCCAAGACGAGCGAACTTACGTCCCCTTACACTACAAGAAAAAGTGTTATTTGCGTCCAACTTTTTTGTGTCGACTAAAGTGGACGCAAATAACTACTCTTTTGCATCGACAAGTGGACGCAAATGGTATTAAATAAAATCCCGCCCAGGCCTGGTACAATTTCATTATTTGCGTCGCCTTGTCGACGCTAAAAGAGTTTAATTATATTTGTGTCAACGAGTGCCGACGCAAAAAACGAAATGTAAAAAAGTCGGGCGCTCAGCGTCTACAAGCCCAAGCTTGTAAGCCCAACACACAACACACTTACCCTAAGCCAACTGCGAAATGAACCTACAAAGAGGATGAAGGAGCTAGCAGCTGCGAAGACGGCGAAGTGAACCTGCGTCCTGTGAGGAAGACGTCAACCGCGCCGCCTACGTCGTCCGCCAGACCGCCACTCCACCAAGCTGTGACCTGCCGCCCTGCATCCGCCTCTGCGCTTCCCTCCGGGCTCCAGCCTCCAGC